CAGCTCGGTCAAAGCTCTCTGCGTTTCGCGGCGTGAAGCCTTTCCCCGGCTCTGCGCGCCGATGGGCGGGGAGGGGAGGGGGGTGTAGGTGCCGAAAAATTTAAGGGATCGTTTAAGAACGGAGCCTGCGATGAATGGGGAAGGGGCGAGGGGGTGGGGGGATAGTTGGAAAATGGATTCGCTGACAAGGAGGGATAATAAATGAGAGGCGCTTTCAGATAGATATCTCAGACGTGAAATTGCACCCAGCTGGTTGTGTAAGCAAACAAATAGTTTCATGTTAGGGACTCTCGACTTGTGGCTTGATGAATAGAACACGACAGAGGTAAATGGCTCTTTAACTCATTTAGGAATAAAACTCTTTGGCTTCGCGAGCAAAGGACCTGGTGACGCCATGGATCCTGAGCAAGCACTTTAACAAGAGTTTTATTAGTTTCCAATTGCACTCACGTCTCCCCCCTAGCTCACCTCCTCTCTTCCTCTTTTTTTCCTCCCTTTTTTGCACATTTTCCTCTCTCTCTTCTCTCCACTCTCCTGGAGAACGCTTCTCCAGCAGAGATCCCCACGTCATGGCACGGGGGGAGCCACATGTTCGCTCGTGGCTGTGCTCTGTGCCCTGTGACATTTTCCTGTTTGTGGTTCCCGCTGCGTTCCCGTATCTCCGCAGAACGATCATCCTCGGCCGCCCTGACACGATGGTGAAAACCTTATGAGTGAGGGTAAGTTTGTACTAAATAAATAAATAAATAAATAAATAAATAAATAATGCCAATGCCAGTGACAGTGGGAGAGACAGAAGGAGGCTTTAAAAATGTATTTGCATGTTTAGTGGCTGTCACGACTTTCTAAGGTGAAAAGAAACTGGAAGTGAGCTGGGAAAAGGCGGCGGGCACCGGCCTCTGTCTGCCTCAAGAAGGCATGGAGGGGACAGGATGGGGGCCTGGGAATAAAAGAAGAAGAAAGAAACCAACCAACAAAGAGAAAACAAACAAACAAACAAACAAAAAAAAAAACCAAACAAAACAAAACAAAAAAAAAAACACCAGAAAACAAAAATCACACACACAATAAAGGCAAACCAAACCCTCACCCACCCCGAGGCTGATATTTCAAGGCTTAAAAATGCGTGCTTTGAATAGCCAAAGCGCTCCACGAGGCAGGAGGAGGCATTCCGGCAGTGCCCGTGACAGCCACGCACACACGCCGCGGGGACACAGCCTGGGGAGGTCCGCGGTCACGACTGCGGGGACAGTTTGTCCGTCGGCTGTGGGTCCTCCCGGCCGCAGCGCAGGGCAGCCTCCCCCCTGCGGCCGCACGGATCCGCTCCGCCCGGGTGTTTTTGCGTAGAGGGGACCGCTATACACCGCAGGTAATTAGAGTGAAAAAGGGTGGGGAAAAAAAAAAAAAAAAGAAGGAAGGAAGGAAAATAAAATCCGGAGAACCCTGTCCGCCTGCTAAAAGGAGCTTCTCGCTTCTTCGTGGAGACAGACGGGTGGGTTCCACTCGCGTGACACTAAAAGCAATGGTGGATTTCACTTAGTCTGTTCTTATCACTTCTGCTGTCCCCCAGAGTGACCCCGAGGCACGGCCCAGCAGGCCCCTCCTCGGCCCGGGCACCTGGAACTCCCGCGTTGACACCTGCATCTCTGCCAGCGGCAGAAGCCCCGCTCCTCCGACACAAAAAGGGCGCAGGGCAGCGGCCCTGACCCCTGTGGGAGCGGGATTGGTGTCTCAGAGCCCCCTGACCCGCAGGTGGAGGCGGAGAGAGGGGGCATCGCCCTTCCCGTACCCCCTTCCCTTCACTCACACTCACAGCCCGACCGCAGCTCTGCCCTAAGCACCGCCGGGGAAAGCAGGGCTGACCCCGCGCCCCAATCCCCGCTGGACTCGACCCTCCATTTAGGGGTATTTCCGAATATTTGTTTGATGGAGGACAGCTGAGCTGGGGAGGACTTGCGCTCAGGACTGGGGTGGGAGGAGTGGGCTCGGGCCCCCACTGACTCTCGCTCCTCTCTCTGTCCGCGGAGGGGCAGATGAGGGGTGCGGAGGAACCGTGCATCCCTGCATGACAGCAGGACAGGATGGCGGTTGGTTTCAAACCAAGGAGCGGTCTTTAAAGCAGTGTATTGTAAGTCACGGGCGAGTCAACGGGAGCTGGTGGTGGATGGAACCCGGCCCCTCTACACAATCACATTTCTTTTCCTTTTCTCTTTTTCTTTTCTCTCTCTTTTTTTTTTTTTTTTTTTTTTGCCCAGCAGAGCACTGCCCGGTGCCGCGGACGCGCGGTATTTTCAGCCGTACCCCCGAGGGCTGCAACGGGGCGGAAGGGAAAGCAGCAGAGCAGAGCGGAGAGGGCAGTTCACACCTCGGCACACAGCACAGTCGTGTCAGCAAAGTTTAATGAGGGGTCGGAACACTTCTTTCGGACACATGCATGGCAATGCGCGCATCTCGCACACCTCCTCCACAAGTGCACGTTTCTTGGCAATCGTGGGTCATTATAATTATCCATAAATACGAAAATTAATTGAAAAATACTCTTCTGACCTACGAGAAAAAAGTTTATCTGTTTTCATCAGTGGGATAACGCTATAATGAATATATTTACATCTCATTGGAAGCCACTGAGAGCTGCCTTTCTCTTCCGCTATCCCTATTTATTTGTGGTTTTATTTTTTTAATTATAACATCTAATGATTTCTGAGTTTCTGTTGTTGTCATGTTTTGTGGCTTTGTGTGTGTGCGCGCGCGCGCTTTCGTTCCTCTGCTTCATTCCCCGCTGTTGGTCCCCCCGTGTTTCCCCCGGCCCACCCCCCCCCCCCCCCCCCCCGGGGGCTGGTTCAGCACCACCAAGGTCTGGCCTGCCCCCGGCACCCCACCTGGGCGGGGAACAGAACGGTATCCCCTCGTCCCATCCTCGCCCGCAGCCCCCGCTTCCCCTGAGCGGCGCCCGTGGGCCGCCCCCGCGCAGCGCCTGCCCGCAGCGCTGGTACCCGGCTGTGAGCATGGAGCTGCGCTCGCCTCGGATCTGCTGCGCCTGGAATATTAAAAGCCCCAAGCGGGTTGGGTTGAAGGATCTTGTTAATGCAAAAAGAGAGAGAGAGAGAGAGAGAGGGCAGAGGGAGAGAAGGAGAGGATGGAGGACAGCAAATTAAAAGAACACCGCCCGTGACTCCACGAACCTGCCTCATCCGGGCTCGTTGTGGCACGGGGGGTGCCTGAGCGCGGGGGCAGTGCTATTTTTAAAGATCCGGCTTTATTAATACGTTAAGAAAGAGATCCCCTGGCAGTGTGTGTTCTTACAGCTCTGTCTCGGATCCTATAAAACATTAATGCGATGGAAGCTGTTACAGGGACCGAGCAGCACTGTGAAGCCTTCACCTCCACAGCAGCTCCATTACTGAAATGATCTTTAATTTTTCCTTGGCTCAAAAAGATAAAAACAAAAATAAAAGCACTCTCGGGACACGAGCGAGGAGCGGAGACAGGGCAGGTGTCTGCCATGGGCGCAGCGCTGGGTGCCTGCTAAAGGCTGGGGCAGAGCGGCCGCCCAGAGGGTCTTTGGGGTGAAGACAGAGAATG